TTAGAATTGAAGGTCAGACAAAGAACTTCTCAGACAAGGAAAAGCTAAAGGAGTTCATCACCACCAAACTAGCACTACAGGAAATGTTGAAGGGTCTTCTTTAAGAAGAAGCTAATGAACAAAAGAATCTGANGTTCATCACCACCAAACTAGCACTACAGGAAATGTTGAAGGGTCTTCTTTTAAGAAGCTAATGAACAAGAGAATCTGATGAACTAAATGGATCCAGAGACATTGAGGCATGTAACAGATGATCATATTTCAGAGGGAAGAGGGAAGGGAGGTGGAGGGTGAGAAGAGATTAACCAAGGAAGTTATATGCATGTATGTATAGCCCATGGACATAGTCAATAATGGGGTGGGGCCCTGGGGATGGAGTGGGAGCGAGGTGGAGGAGGTCAATTGGGGGGGGGATGGGACACCTGTAATACTTTCAACAATAAAGATAAATTAAAAAAAAAAAGGGAATGGCAAATTAAATATACATCCAAATAAAATGTTTTGGAGTAATCTGGGGTGGTCACTTCTTGTCTAAAGATGGCAACCATTATCCAGCACACTGTGAGTAATCTAGTATGGCTAAAACTTCCAGTTTTGTAGAGTAAATGTAGCCAGTACTACTATTATTACAGAATTGTAGAACTGTAAACCTAGAAGAGAGTTTAGAAACAATCTAATCCAACCAAGGATTAAAGAAGTTATTAATTCAATTTAGAAAGCATTCAGTAACCTTCTATTACATGTAAGAAACTTTCCCAAAATTAATTAATTACAAATTTGAATGGCATTATGCTAAAGAGTAAAAAATAATCCTCATTAAATATAGGTGAGATATTTGTAGTGCCACCAATGGAAGGCAGGCAAATATAAGGCTTTGGATACCCAGAGCTTCACAGGTATAATTATGAACTTGACAATGCTCACATTTATTTTCTTTTAAATCCTCACCAGCGGGTATTTTTTTCCATTGCTTTTCAGAGAGAGTGAAAGGGGGAGAGAGAGAGAGAAACATCGATGTGAGAGAGATACATCAATTGATTGCCTCCTGTATGTGCCCCGGCCAGGGCTGGAGATGGAGACTACAACAGAGGTACGTACCCTTGGCCAGAATCAAACCTTGAGTACTCGGGCCAATGCTCTAGTCACTGAGCCAAACCAGCGAGGGCTGCTTTACATTTCTAAAGCTCAATTAAACAGAAGAGAGCACAGAAGAAAGTTTAGAAACTAAAAGCCAATAGCAAACTCTGGATAAATGTTAAAATCTCAGGTTAGTCCATTATGCTTTTCTTTCAACTTCTGCACACTGTAAAAAATTTTCCTAAGAGAAAAAAATATTAAGGCAATACCAATATTAAGAAATACTAAAATTAAAAATAAACACCTCTCACATTATATATAAAATTAACTCAAGTAGATCAAAGACCTAAATGTAAGAGCTAAAAATATAAAACTCTTGGAAGAAAACAACAATATAAATCTTTGTGACTTTAGATTATAGTTTCTTATATATGACACCGAAAACATAATCAACAAGAAAATAAAAAGATAAATGGACATCATCAAAATTTTAAAGTGTGGTGTTTCAAAGAACAATCCACAAAATGGGAAAAAATTTCTGGAAATCATATATCTGATAAAGAACTTGTGTCTGTCCCTGGCCAGGCAGCTCAGTTGGTTAGAGCATTGCCCCGATACACTAAGGTTGCAGGTTCAATCTCTGGTCAGGGCACATACAAGATCAACCAATAAATGCATAAATAAGTGGAACAACACACTGATGTTTCTCTCTCTCTCCCTTTCTCTCTCTCAAATCAATAAAAAAAATAATAATAATAAAAGAACTATTTATAATATAAACTCTTACAAATCAATAAAAAAAGACGAATAACTCAATGGGCAAAGGATCTGAACAGTCATTTATCCAAAGATGATATGACAAATAGGCACACAAAAAATGTTCAACATCAATCAGAGAAAGTCAAATAAAAATCACATGGAGATACCACTTCACACCCACTAGATCACTAGACTCAAAGGGGCAGATAACAAGGATTGGCAAGGATGTGGAGAAATTCAAACCCTCATACACTGGGGATGGAATGAAAATGGTATAGCCACTTGGAAAACAATCTGACAGTTCCTCCAAAGGTTAAACATAGAGTTACGATACAACTCAGCAATATATGTCCACACAGAGCAATCTATGTGCAAACAAATGTTCATAGCAGCACTGCTCATAATAATCAAAAAGTGAAAACAACTCAATATTCATCAACTGATGAATGGGTGAATGAAATGTGGTACACCCATACCATGAAATATAATTCAGCAATAAAAAAAATGAAGCATGGCCCTAGCTGATTTGGCTCAGTAGTTAAGAGCGTTGGCCTGTGAAATGAAGGGTCCCAGGTTCGATTCCAGTCAACGGCATGTAACTCGATTGATCCCTGGCCCTGGTCAGGCGTGTGCAGGAGGCAACCAATTGATGTCTCTCACATCAATGTTTTGCTCTCTCTTGTTCTCTCCCTCCCTCCTACTCTCTCTGAAAAGCAATGGAAAAAATATCCTCTGGTGAGGGTTTAAAAAAAAAAAAAAATGAAGTATGGATACAGGCTACAACATAGATGAAACTTTAGAATGTTATGCTAAGTGAGAAAAGCCAGTCACAAGGGACAACATACCATATGATTCCATTTATATAAAATGCCTGAAGTAAATAAATCTACAGAGATAGAAAGTAGATTAGTTGTTGCCTAAGGCTAGTAGGGAAGGGAGTGATTAGGATGAGATGGCTAAAGAGTGATAAAATAATACCTAGACCAAATAAGTCCTTTGAGGGGTAGGAACTGTATTTTTGTGTCCCTGGTATGTAGCACTAAAGGGCAGTGCTCAGTAAGGGTCAGTTCCATAAATTAAATGCTTCTAAAAAGGTTTCCCAGACCCTAAAAACTTCCTGGCAAGCACCATGAGGAGTTCAGTCTCTTAATAGTTGATCTTTAGTTGCTGAAATACTTTTAATACCCAGAGAGTCCTGTCCTTTCCAAGTGTAAAGCTTATTACTTGTAGGCTTTTTAAAGACTTAGTTCAATAAAACTTTAACTTAGAAAATCAATCCTGTACTTGTACACACACATATCTTTTACTTACTTTTACACATTGACTCTAATTCTTCAATTGCTTGTTCGGCCTCCTGAATTTCTTGGTAAATGGCTGCAAGTGGTGCCAACTCAGCATGTCTTCGATTCAACGACCTTTGGTCCCCTTGATTTACAGAGATATGCTGCAAACACTGATCAAGTGTTTGATACTCCTTATTTAGGTCCTCCATATATTTCTGTAGCGCTTTTTGCTTCCAGAGCATCTTAGTGTTTTGATGACAATATCTCTTGGACCAATTCTTATTTAACAGACGACGGAAAATGTGATCCCTGTTTTGGCTAAAAACCCACAGCCTTGTATCAAGATGTATCTGTGTAAATTGATGAAAAAAGGGGTGGATGTAGCACTGGTGGTGACCATGAAGAGATGGATGTCTAAAGAGCCAAACACAGAGGTGACGATTCATCTCAGCATCTGAAATATAATACATAAACACAATCTGGAAAAAAAGAAACTCTACAGGTATAATAAAGTTAGAAGGAGCCTCAAGAAATCTTGCTCAGTTTACTGCCTGAGCCAGCTCCAAACAGTCCTCAAATTCCATAACTCACAAAAGGAAAAGAATTCTTCAAACCTCTGAAAAGAATTCATTAAAATAAATCAAGAAAGCACAAAGCACTGTTTTCTACCCACTCAATACATATAAAATTAAGGCAAATGTAAGACTGTAACCAATAAGTAAATCAATAGAATGGGTTAATTCAGCTATTTTCTAGAAAGTATCCAGAATCTAGAATTGAGTACATGAACAAGCACTTGAAAGGTAAAAAATACTCATGCAAACTTTAGGTGGTTTACATATTCATAGATTTCTAAAGTTTGATGTAAATAGCAACTATTTTCTTATTTAACTCTTTAATTTTAGGTATTCAGATGTCCAAGGAAGTCAAGTAACTTAATCATGATTATTTACTCAGCCAGGCAGATGGAGCTGATTTTAGAATGCAGGTTCCCTATTCAGAGCTCTGTGCTTTTCATTCTCAGTTCTACAATCACCCTTCAAAGATGCTTCCCTTTCAGCCGAAATCCTAAAGGAAGAAAGCTTCAAATATTAACAGGCTGAAAAGTAGGTCTGGTAAAAAGGGACAAAGGTGATAATTACAGTTTGCCCTTGAACAACACGGGTATGAACTACTCAGGTCCACCTACACCCTGATTTTTTTCAATAAATATATAATCAGACCTCTGTATCCACTGGTTTCTCATCCGCAGATTCAACCAACCATGGCTGAAAACAGTATTTTCAATCTGCTGTTGGGAATTAGTGGAGGCAGAGGTCCAATTGCATGCATTTTTCTATACCATTTTATAGAAAGGTTTGAGCAGCTGGGATTTTGGTATCCTTGGGGGTTCTACAACCAATACAACATGTATACTCAGGGATAAGGGTAATTAAGTTTTGGGGGAGTCAAAAGTTATATGCAAATTCTTGAGTGGGGGCAGAGTTGTTGCCCCTAATACCTGCATTGTTCAAGGACCAACTGTACAAAACAATATAATCTCAATTACTTTTTTGAATTTTATCCACAATACAAGATATACAGGTAAAAAAAGTACAGAATATTTTGAAAAAAGAAAACTAAAAAATAAATACATCAAAATGTTAAGAAGATGGTTTCAAGTTGTGGGATTATGACTACCTTTTGCTTGCTTTCTACTTTTCTACTTTTTAGTGTTTTCCAAGTCTTCTACACTTATAGCATGTATTACTTTCACAATCAAGGAAAATAAGTTACTTAAAAAATTACAAGTTAGGTGAAATAGGCCGTGTACAATAATTATTTGTTCTTTTCCCCTCTAACAGAGATAAGCAAGAGCTAACAAAAGTACACAACTATTTTACTGAGTAAGAAAGGGTTCGAAGAAGAACACTTTGCCCCTAAAATCCTGTGGTTCAAAGTTGAAATAAAGGTCAAAATGTATCAAAATCAACCTTTATTGTCTCTGGTGTTCCTATTATGCTAGGAGGTGCATTCAATATTAGCTCATTTGATCATTGTAAGCCTACTAACTTATATATCATTATCACCTAGGAAAGAACATATTCAAAGTGTGCAGGGTTCTACTAATGAACTTTAACCTACTGAATCACATTTTAGAAGGGCTGTGGAAGAATCCATCTACGCCCAGTGACCACAGAAGTTACAGTCCTCCAGAAGCCTCTGTGTGTCTTCACATCGAGTTTCAAGCACATCAGAGCAGGTGTGTCCACTTGAAAACGGACAGAATAAAAGGATGGTAAACATTTTCGTTAGAACACTTCTGGCTAAAATTTCCATCTCAGGCACCATAGTAGAATAACTCTCAAGGTCACGAACCTCGATGTTAAGGGGGTAAAAGACCAAGGCATTTACTCTCCAGGATTACACCTGAGAACAGAAATTTGTCTCCCTCCCTCCCCCCCACAGTTAACCGGACAGCTCTGATACTCTGGAGCAAGTCTCAGCGTCCGTACAGCGGACTGACCCTATCGGGGGCGAGAGCACCACTTGTAAGCCATACTGGGAAACTCAGTGAAAAAGAGTGATCCCATAAAAACACAACATGGAAAACAAACTGGAGAAAGAAAAAAGGCTTTTTAAGATCATAAAAGAGAAATTAACTGTGAGTACCTAAAATAAAAAAGAGAGGACGTCAGCTTTCCTCGCTGAGGTCGGAACCTTCTCCAACCCCGTACATTTCAGCCGGAAAAGCACGGAATCACTTTCACTTCCTGGGTCACTCCTTCCGGGTTAATAGCTGATTCCCGGCTTCACCTCTGTCTGGACACTCGCCCGGCGGAGTAGTGCTTGGGCTTCGTTAAAACAATGAGGTAAAACTGGAAACAAAAGAAGAAACTGAAAGCGAGAAAGAAAAAAGTTACAAGGCGAGAGAAATTCCCATGAGGCGACAGGGTGGCGTACTTACCCAGAGCAGGAGCGCGGGGCGTGGGTTGCGATACGAAGGGCGCCGGAGGAGGCGTGGAGGTGGCCTGGAGGTGCGGGATCCCCGAGGGGGCGGGGGCGCGAGACGGTGAGCGTGGAGTGTAGAATGTACTACAACTCCCAGTAGTACCCACCCAGGAATCCTGGGAGTTGTAGTTTATCTCGGCACAGGCACCCCGCCCCCACCCCCCGGGCCCAAAGGTGGAGCTTTGGTTTTCAGTGAGGCAAGCTCAGGAGAGAATTCTCTACAGCTTTGATTAAGAAATCAAGATGTACCATATGTTTAATGTAAAATTACAAGAATTTCCTTATATATGGAGCTACTAAATTAGTGATTCTTTAATTTCTTTTATGAGGACCCCCTTCTCATTCAAAAATTTAGTGGAATCTGCTTGTTAATAGCTGTACTTTCAGCTTCCATTGCCTAAGAAAATACCTAATGACTAAATGAGAGTATAAATTTGTAATTTTTAAAGTCATAACGGGATCCAAAAGAAAGACTATAGTTATATACAAATTAGTGATTTTATAGATGTTGCATGCACATACAGAATTTAGGGGCTCAACTTAGGTTCGTAGCTTGTAAACCACCGATTAAATAATTTAAAAATCCAAATAATAAACAATTCCAGGAAAATGCAAACAAATTGCCTTTAAATATTCCAGTGGGATACAGTCATTAGCAACCACATTTACAATATTTCTTCCTTTAAAAAATTTTTAAAAACACTTTATTAAATTTATTGGGGTGACAATGGTTAATATGAACATGTAGGTTCCAGGTGTGGGTTTCTAACACTATTTCTTCCTGAAAAGTGCAAAAAGAATCCCATATTACCAACTTCACAGGATATTTTAGGTTATGACCATACATATCAGAAGAATTAGCCATAAATGTAAATACATATCCAACATTTATTACCTACTTCGAGGTATCTACTTCTTTCTGCTACATATTAAACCTATTAATTCATCTCATCCTTATGACATTACCCATTGTGCATAAGAGAAAACTGAGGCACAGAGAGCTTAAGGAACTTGTGCAAGGTAGAAGAACTAGTAAGTGATAGAGCAGAGATTCAATCAAGGCAATCAATCATCCTTAATGATCTGTGACTCCTAAGCTCTGATACTGCCTCCACTTCTCAAAAAAACAAAAAGAAAGAAGAAAACATTCAATCATTCAGTAAAGATTGAACACTGATTATGTGCTCACTGTTCTAAACTTGAGAATTTAGCAATGAATAGAAAAGACAAAAATCTTTGTCTGCCTGGAGCTCATGTCCCAGTAGAGAACAAATTCCAAAGGACCATATAAGTCATTCTCCTGCATTACACAATAAAATACTTTCTTTCTTTTGATGTGTGTAGATATATAAATTAAGTATTATTTATAAAGCTTTACTCTCCTTTTAAAAAATAAGCCTTACTGCTATGGACTGAATTGTGACAACCCCCCCCCCC